TTATAGTCATAGTTGGGCACTGGTTTGTTTTTAGACTTCTCCTGGTATGAGGTGCTTATGTTGATATGCTGTATTTGATTGTACATTATGGTCAAATATCTCCATTTGTTGAGTTCTAGAATCATGTCCAAAGACATTTTGGAAACGTACATAAACATATAGTAGAACTGTAAAAACCTGTAATCTGTAAAGCCACTGTTGTGTTTGTGACCAGCTCTGTCCATGAACATGCTGCAGCTGTTTTGTAAGTTGAAAAACACAAGCACTGTGCTGGATTGCTGGTGATGTATGAATGGCTCGACCTTTTTAAGGAGCAAAACAAGTCCTGTTTTTCCTTGGTTTTATGACTTTACATCATATGGCATCAAGTTGTATGCCAGAAAACTTGCAAGGCTTTAACTCTTTGATGCACCTCACCAGAAAGGATCAAGAGCGAGGACACACGTGTCACACAGACTGTTTAAGTGTGGCTGAATGCTGCCAAAGACAGAGAAGGTGATCCAAACTGAAGATGTAGAATTACCAGGAAGCAAAATAGTAGACTAATGGGATAGCTATAACCTCCTGGGCTTATCCAGAAAGTTAAAGCTATCCTGTAGGTCTGCTATTTGCTCTCCAAGCCAATAGGACCATGATAATGATGCAAAGAGGACAGCCCTGCCAAATATTTCCAGAGGGTAAGATAGTACTGACAAACCAGCCCAGTTGTAGTAATAAGGTCCCAGACATTAATATGTGCAGTACCTACTACTGGTCATCATATAAGCAGCCAGAATAATATTGCTTTTTCTACTGAATTAAAGTGCAGACTCTCTATATGTGTGTCAGAGCTGCATGAAATAAGACTTTTGTTCATAACCCACCTGCACACTTACTCAGAGCTGATTGAACTATTTTTGATCTGCTGCTCTGGAACTGAAAACTCCACATTACCAGTTCATCTACTCAAATTTCAGGCTCACACTCTGTGGTGTTTATTACATTTGTTTGCTGCAGTATGGACCAGAGGGTTGGACTGTGAAGCAAGTTTGACAGGCTTTCTTTAAGTTAGCTGGCTTGGCAACTCTTCAGTCAGTGATAAAGACGATGAAGAAGGCTTCAGGATCTGGGCAGGCTCAAATAAAAGAAGGCATCAAATGCTTCTTTTGACTCTACTTCTGTGAAATATTAACTGTACCGATGGTTGAATTAACTGTGATTTATCACATTTTTTTGGAAATCTGGGCCACATTTGTGCCTGATTACAGCCAGACCCACTGAATCCAGAAATCACTTAAATAGAACCTGCGTGACAAAGAGAAGCAGGCTAAAAGATCTGATAAAGCTACACATCATGGTACAATCTAAAGAAGCAGCCTAATGATTAAGATGAACAGTATGGGCTCAAGCTCACACTCTTAAGCACCTGAGATCCTTCTGCAACCAACCTAGATAAAGTGGCATCAGTATTATACTGAATCTAAAAAAAACATCTCCTTAAATTAGTTTTCAAATATATAAAGAGTCCAGTGTCACTGCATCTTCTTAAAGACAAAACAGCAAAGGTCACTAGGAGGATGGTGAATGGCAACTGTAAAATAACACATCATAGATGCACATCTAGACAGTCAGTCTTCTCTGCGACACACTGAAACCAAACTAACTGCAGATCCTGAAGTCAAACTAGGAAGAAAGCTTCATAATATGTTAAATTGCATTATCCCTATCATATAAAAGTATCATCATTTGGACATAACAATAATTTTTACCCAGATCAAATGGGAAATTATTTATATTCTAGTTTAATATCCATGACATTAAAGGTTTTAACAGACTGGTATGTCTGCGCTGTGGAAGGACGTACCATGTCCAGCAGCTGGATGCTGAGATGGCCTGCAGTGTCCTCGCTGCGCTCAGCTCGCTGCTTTTGAGCCCGTGCGGCTCGTTTCAGAGCCTCTCGGTCTGCGCCTGCCTGCTGCTTTAGTGTCACCAGCTGATCTGTCAGATGTTTTATCTCCACCTTCTGCTGATTGGCTGCTTTTTCCAGGTTCTGAACCAATGGCAGAGGATAACAGACGTATAGATAAAGATATACTGAAAAAAACATGTCTGACTACAATACAAACGACTGGACAAATATAGATTGCAATAAATATATATTGTCCAGGGTGTGTGTTCACTGACTGTCATTTCTTTCCATCCATCCATCATTATTATACACAGCACCAAAAACAGCAACAGATGGCAGAAGATACCACACAAACCTTTATCTGCACAGTGAGGCGACTGTTCTCAGCGTCTTTGCTCCGGAGCTGTCCTTGTAAATGAGCTCGTGTTGACTCCAGGCTTTTTGAAAAAACAGCTGTGCTCCTGGCATTGTCCTGCATTTCCAAAGCCAGCAAAAGATACTTGTTTTGTGCTTTGACATATGTTAGTTCTAAGATTATATGATATGAGTAATGCGGCAGTGAAAGAATGCCGTATGGAAAATTTCAGCTCTGCAGTTCGACACAGTTTCAGATGAAGAGAGTTCTAAATAAGACAGCCACCTTTTCATTATCTAAGAGCTTGCCAAGTCGATTAACCTCTCGGTCTTTCTCTTGAAGTTTAACAACAAGATGCTGTAAAAGGAAAGAAAACATATTATTTCTGACACAAAAAAGG